GAAGACAAAGCTGATGTACTAATAGAACTGACAGTAAAGTACTATCTGCTATTCTGTTCCGCCTTCTTTTCCTAACACGTAACTGGGGGACATAACCCGTGTTGACACAGGAACACACAAGGTTATAACAATAAATGTAAATGCAATTGTCACATGCAATCCCAAACCTACCATTTTCTGTGTACCTATGAGAAATTTCCTTCCGTTACATTTCTATTTAATTATTTCGGGACTTCGGTTAAGACGAGTTTCAGATCTTTCTTGAAATGCTAACTAACACTACGATTTTTACTGGCACCAGTCGCTTGGCTATAAATAAGGAATATATTCTACGTGCTTATGAAAATCTTCAAAATAAGATATTTACTAAACGCGTTTACCTAAATTGTGAGTTTTTGGCGGTCTTTCTAATGCACCTGCTTGTCTGGGCCACATTGTTAGAATCACCTAAACATGTAAATTCATTGCTGAGAAAAATGAACGTCTGAAAAATTAATCATAAAATAAGATGTCTAGGATTAAAAACTTCCTATAACAATTTATCTCTTGAAAAAGAGCTTTATTTCGACGTCAACTATCTGCGTACTTTACCTTCTTCTACGATTATGTCAGGATAAAAATGGCAAAGTGTGGCCGGTTTTGTTAAGTCCATGGGTACTAGAAATAAATCTTATGCTGAATGTGCAGGAACGCACTTTTCTGTATACCGGAGCAGTTTTCAGTTTATACCTTTACTTGTAGGCCCCGTTCAAAGATTGTAAAACACGTCAGATTTGCAGAATATATACTACGATTTGGCGAAACTGAGAATCTTCTACCCGTTCCGTTTAAAGTTTCCTTATTCGTTCATACTGAACCATAGATTAAAAGTGTTTGGACATCTTTTGCCAACGGTTTGACGAATAAAAAGTGATGGCTTGTATTGGGTGCTTGTTTACCGTCCTTTTTTCAGGGGACTAAAAAATTGCAGGCGTATCACTATACAACATAATTTTATGGCACAAAACATGGCAGATTTGCAAAAAATAACTTCACGAATTGAGGCAAAGGTTCGCCCCCCAGGTATGTGCATAGATTGAGAAGAAGTAGTTTCGATCACCGGAATCGTACTTTCATTTGTCTGAGCTTCCGAACTCTTGCGGGAGTCCATCGTCAGCGATAAAACCGTCAACGAAAGCAAGCAACAAGGGGTCAATTAACCGTCATAGGGGCTGGGAGAGGGGGGAAGGGAGGGAGAGACAGGACCACCAGTGCCGTGACTCTGGGATACTCGTACAGGGCAACATATGCTGGCGCCAGCTCGATGCATCGGTTAACTGAGTTGCCATCCGACGCCTAAGCTTCAATCAGGTCTCAGCCCGTCTTGTTGCTTGCATGGGCAATTATCCTCGCAGCTGCGAAGTTGAACTCGTGACCCGTCCCGTAGATGTGGGTGGCCACTTGCGGTGATGCATTACCCACTCGAACAGCCTGCTTGTGATCGTATATGCTCGAGCCCAGCATGCGTCCAGTCTGTCCCGTGTAATATACAGGACAGTTTAGACATGGTACGCGATACACTACACTCGACTGCTCACTGGGACTTAGTCTATCCTTGACCCTCATGACCCG